CACTCAATGGCGCTGTTATCTTTGCGTACTGCGGCACGAACTTGTTGTAGTAGTTGGCAAAGCCAAGGATCTGCTGCAACTCCTTCACGTTCTCCGATACTTCCCACTTCTTGACGGCTTCGATCTTCCGCGGGTCCATGTGTATGCCCTTGGCACTAACCATGTGCCCGAGAAACTGCACCTTCTTCAGGGCGAAGTCACTCTTCGACAGCTTCACGTAGAACTTGTTTTTCCGCAGGATCTTGAACACCTTCCGCAGATGCTCCACGTGCTCCTTCATGTTCTTGGAGTAGATGAGGATATCGTTCAGGTACACCACAACGCACTCGTCCAGTAGGGGTCGTAAGATGTGATTCATCTCCACCTGAAACGTTGCTAGTGAGTTGCAGAGTCCGAATGGCATCACCAAGAATTCATAGGAGCCGTATCTAGTACGGAACGCCGTTTTATGGACAGAGTTGTCCGCCATCTTGATCTGCCAATAACCCGATCGTAGGTCCAGCTTCAAAAATACTGTTGCTCCACGCTGTTGATTGAGTAGGTCGTCTATGCGCGGTATGGGATATTTGTTTTTTACTGTCGGTTTGTTCAGTACGCGGCAGTCGATGCACATCCGTAAACTGCCGTCTGGTTTTGGAGTGAAGAGGACTGGTGCACCGTAGGGAGAGGTGGATGGGCGGATCAGATGTCTGTCCAGTAGATACTCTATCTATTTCTTCATGTCTGTCAGCTCGGTCGGACTCAGTCGGTATGGTGCACGTGAGACGGGTTTTGCACCTGGTTCCTCCACGATCTCGTGCTCGTGGGTGCGTGCTGGAGGTACGTCTGCGGGTAGGTTGTCAGGCATTATATCCTTGTACTGCTCCAACACCTACTTTACTACTACAGGTAGCTCCGAACTCGGCTTCTCCTCCTCTGCTGCTACCATAACCAGTGCTAAGTATCCCCTGTTACTCTCGTTCACAGTCCGTTCGAACCGTGCCAGTGTCGTTTCAGGAACGCTCCCTGTATCCGTCCAGCTTTGCAGCTCCACTCGTTTCCCGTTGTTGTAGATGCACGCCTTCCGGTTGACCCAGTCGATCTCGGGGTTGAACCGCTTCAAGAAATCTTGCCCCAAGATGAAATCCAAGCCCTTGATATTCGTGATCGGCAACGTCGTCTTCCACCTCAGCGCCCCTATGTGCAGCTACAGTGATGCTTCGCCGTGGATGGGAAGTTTCGTACCATCCACCATCGTTGCCGTGAACTTGGTCTCCTTCGAAAATTCTCCAATTTTCTCCAACGTTGTTGCTGCTCCGAGTAACTGTAGATGGTCTCGCTTATAGGATCGTAGGGTACGTCGAATAGATCATCCCTTGGTCCTCTGCTCAAAGCTGCTGACTCGATATCAGTTTCCAACTGAGTAGGGTTAGAAGGATTTATCCAAGGCCAATTCAGCTTCGTCTTGGCCTGGAACCTTCCCTTAAGCCTTTGCAGCTGTGTAGGCTTCTCTTGTGGGCAATGGGGAGCCTTAACTCTATGCTGCGGAGAGAGAATATGAACTCATTGGAACGCACGACCCTTTTCAACGCTCCAGAGTGGTTTGCCCAACTTTTCAGGTGCCTGAAAAATGTCTCAATGCTTTTTCTTGGCCTCGAAATCTCCCCTGGATTTTTTAAAGGCTTGAAAACCTGGAGAGGGAATATTCTTACTCTCGGAGGTGTTCAGGTGGAGTTTCCCGGTCGGTGCAGAGTCTTGTTTCGCGGAGCCTCCATTTGTCTCGGCCATTTCCCCTGTTGCCGGCCAGTCGTGAGGTTTTAAATTTGCGCCATCATGTCCTCCTTTTTTCGCCATCGTGGATGTCGCACTGTTGTTGCCCTGCAGCTCCGCTCATGCCTTCATCATTTTCCAACACGCCAAGAGTCGATGTCCTACTGCGCCGCAAAATTCGCACTTCTCATATTTTGTCGGCCGCTGCTTCGCGTGGATCTTGTCGATATCCATCGGGTCGGTGGTCGTGGGTGGTGCCCATCGCTCCGTGCCGAATGATCTGTTTGCCAAGCGTCGTCGTGTTTCAGGTTGATCTCGCATCAACGCATCGAATCTCTCTGCTGCACACACCATGTCGCGGTAGTTGTTGTAGTTTGCGGCAATCACCTGTTGGCGGAGTTCCATCTTTAGCCCCTCAGTATACGCTTGGATTTTTTCCCGTTCGGTCAGGTCAGTAAGTCGGTTGAAAAGGCTCTCCATCTCCTGCGTGTACTGTGTTATACTGCCGAACTGTTTATACCGATGAATCTGCTGTGGCGCCATAAAGCTGAATTGATTGGTTCGAAACGTTGAATTAAAGCTTCCCAAAACTGCGTCCATGACCCCTCGCCTCGGATCTTATTGCTGTTGTAAATCCACTCGAGCGCTGGGCCTCGTAACAGTGTCGCTGGGAGCCGAATCTGCATTACGTCGTGTGTCGGGGTCGTACAGTCAATGGCTTTGAAGTAAATTTTGACAGTCGCAATGAATCAACGAACGTCAGTGTCTCTTGCATTCGGATTGAACGTCTCCGGTAGCCTTGGACGTGCCGCCTCAAGATTCATTGTAGTTGCTGCCGCTGCTGCTGGGTGAAGTGTCATTGTAGCCGCTGCTGCTGCTGACGTCGCTGCTGCATTCGCCGCTGCATTCGTTGATGCCGTGGCGGCTGCCGACTGGTTCGCGAGAAGCTCCTCTATTCGCTGGAGTACCTCTCGCGTCCGGTCCAGGTCGGTGTGTAACTCTGCAATTTTCTGTACGGAACTATCACCTCCATTTGGCGATCTATGAGAAATGTTGCGACGAAAATAAATGAATTTCAGGCGCTGGTCATCTTACTGTGAGTCGAGTTGACTGCATAAATGACGAGGGCTGATTCTGTAGATCGCGTAGTTCTCCCTTAGTCGAAATTCGCGTCTGATCTCGGCCGTTGAGAAGAAATTCGATCCGACGCTCCAAATTCCAACGTTTTTGGGAGAAATTATCAGGACCGTTGAGATTTGAATCGATCCGACGGTCGAGATTCCGAATTTTTCACTACTGGACCTGAGGAGTGATCGAAAACCGGTTCGAGGGGGACATTAGAAAAAAGCGCAGAACTGGTTTACGTAAACGAAATCGGCGATTTCCGTCGTCGCCCCCGCGGTTTTAGAAGCTAGGTTTACGCGGTCGAAAATCTTGGCGTCTAAAGAGGCTCTGAATACCAAGTGTGAGGATCTAGGATCGAGCTCAGAAAGGGAATTGTAATTGAACTGAGTTGAATAATCACCTGGGTACAACACGAGGCAATATATAGGCTCGACACAAGGCCCCGTAACCAGGTGTTACGCAAAGGTTCCGCGGGTCGCGAAGCGTCCCGAACAGAACCTTCCCCAATTCGGTAGAAGGCAATTCGGTGGCAACCAAAAAGCCAGAATTCGGTGCACGCAACCTAGCTCGGTGCTATAACTATAATAAAATATAGGAAAGCACCTAGCCTAGAAAATCAAGCAATTCATGCATGCATAAAATTCTCCTATGCTAGAAATAGCATAACATAGTAAAGGCAAGCAAGAATAGCTGGCATAAGCCGTCGTACTCTTACATCTACCCCACTGGAGCCTACACAGACTATAGAATATAAGCCTGACTCACCCCCATAGGCAAAGTGGGGGAGAACAAGAGGTCAAAAGACCAATCAAGCAAAGCAAAGCAGGCTCAGAGTGGATCACAACGTCACCACACATTCCGAGCACAAGTTCAAGGCCACAAGGCCAGTTCACATTCAAGATCATATATATAAAGTTAAACAAGCAAGTGCAGGTATAGATAGATCACAGTACAAGCAAGGTCAAGAAGTGAGCAAGTGAGGCCAAGTAGGCACAAGACCTAGCATCGTACAGCAGCGCTGATGATCACAATGCGGAAGTGCCTTGGTGAAGATATCAGCACTGTTGGCCTGAGCGGCCACATGAGCCAGGCGCAGCTGACAACGCTGCTGCAGCTCACGAGCAAGGAAGTAACGAAGAGCAATGTGCTTCGTTCTATGCTCCAGTCTGTGCTCCCGACACAAGGCCAGCATGGCCTTGTTGTCTACGTACAGAACTAGAGGAGAACGAGGCGGCTCTCTCAGGTCGGTGAGCAGGTAGGTGAGCCAATGTAGCTCCTGTGCAGCCATGGCCCCCGTGTAGATCTCAGCCTCACAGCTGGAGCCGAGAACAGAAGACGAGCGGGTGGACCGCCACGAAACAGAGCCGGAACCAAGGGTGAAGGTGTAACTCTGTGACGACTGCTGCGTAGCCTGGTCGTCAGCCCAAGAAGCGTCTGCATGACCGGTGAGGACCACTGAACGACGCCCTCCAAGCACTTGCCCCATGCCTGACCTACTGCACAAGTAGTGCAACACCCTCTTCGCTGTCGCCATGTACTCTGGTCGGTGTCTCCCAGGAGCAACATAGCGTGCCAAGATGCTAAGAGGGTATGCAAGGTCAGGTCGAGTGCAGTTCATCAGGTACATGAGGCAGCCAACAAGCTATGGGTACGGGCCACTCGGCTCTACGGACTCATCCAAAGGCAGAGTTGAGAGCGAGTTGCGAGTAGACAGAGGAGTGGCCTTAGGCGAGGAGTACGTGAAGTCGAAGCGCTGAAGGACTTGCTGCACCATGTGTGACTAAGTCAGGGTAATGGTGCGCTGTGCTCTGTCCCAGGTGATCTGCAAGCCAAGGTAGCTGCGGAGTTCACCCAGGTCTGTGCACGTGTATCTCTTCTGCAGCTCGGACTTCACGTTGGCGAGTCCAGCACTGTTAGCAGTGGCAAAGACCAAGTCGTTGACGTACAGGAGGATGTAGAAACAGCGACGGGCTGGCAGTAGAAGGAGCAAACCCAAGAGCCGCAAGTGTAGTCCTCAGTGTGTCGTGCCACTCACGAGGCGCCTGGCGGAGATCGTAGACTGGCCGCCGGAGGCTCCACTGGGTACCAGGAGGAAACGACCCAGTGACGCCAGGTGCGCGGCGCAGTCACATCTCCTCGTGCATGCTGCCCTGCAGGAAAGCTGTGCTGAAGTCAAGAGAGTGAAGCTCGTAGTCGCGCTGAGCGGCTATGTGCACCAGCACGCGAAGAGTGGTCATCTTTGGGGTGGGAGAGAAGGTCTGAAAGTAGTCAACTCCCTGCTGCTGACTGAAGCCTCGAGCCATGTAACGCGCCTTGAAGACAGGCGGAGAACCCGACGGCCGCTTCACCCTTAAAATCCACATGCCAATTACGATGTTCGCCCCAGGTGGGGGAACCTCGTTGACGTAGGTGCCTGTGGACTTCCAGGAAGCCATCTTTGCGTCCATGGCTGACTGCCACTGTGAGGAGTAGGGACCCTCGATCGCCTCAGCGTACGATCGAGGAGACTGCATTAGAGTCTCCCTCTGGGGCAATCAACATGGACACGAGATGAGGCAAAGCAGCAGCAAAACACTGGAACTCCTCCTGCCTCTCCTCAAGGATGTCCGTGCTCAGAGCACACTCACCCCCGACGGACGGAGGACAGACAGACTCAGACTCAGCAACAAGACTAGCGGCGTAGTCTAGACGACAGCGAGCAGCAAAGTCGACAAGCTCAGCAACCAAGGCAGACGCAGCAGTGGATTCAAAGGAAGGGTCAGTGACAACAATAGCAAGGAGACGCATGACAGAAGGATTTGCAGCACGAAGAGAGTCAGACTACGGGTCCGCAAGAGTAGGAAGAGAGGACTCTGGAGGAGACGGCAACGGGACACGCTGAGGAGCAGTGGAAGGATGCAGTGCCATCTGGTGTGTGCCTCGAACCGCAGGAGGACGCGGACGCGGAACAGGACCACTAGTGTGAGCAGCACGAACAGGCAACGCAGGACGAGACGCAGGCTCACGATGCTCAACAAGACCTACTGTAGGACCAGTGTAGGGAGAAGGAGCAGGCAGGGGAGAGGCGACTTGTAGCTGTGGCTGCGACTGGATAGTCTATGGACACCGTAAGGGAGGAGCAAAACCAGGAGAGGGCGAGAGACTAGGAACCTGCTCAAGGAGCGGAACGAAGTACGGCCGCGGCCGCTCAGCTCCTCTTGAAACAGCAGGGACAGCATCAGTACCCGCAGCAGCTGCACCAGCGCGAGCAGCACCTCTAGCTCCAGCAGCGCCAACTCTTACACCCTCAGAAGTACCAGCGCCAGAAGCACCTCCAGCGCCAAAACCCCCAGCAGCTCCAGTACCTCCAGCACCACCCACAGCACCTCCAGCAGGACCAACTCCAGTAGCCCCAGCAGCACCCCCAGTCCTAGCAGCTCCAGTACCGTCAGTACGAGCACCTCCAGGACCAGGGTCTCCAGTACCTCCAGCGGCGACCCTAGGGTCAGCAGCAACAGTAGCACCTCCAGCTCGAGCAGCACGGCTCCTGCACAGGGCAAACCACTCGCGTAGCTCCAGTGGAGAGGGTAGCTCCCGCTGAGACGAAGCACCCGAAGGACCCCTTGACCCAGCACCGCGAGAGGCCACAGGAGCAGACACAGTACCCTTAGGCTCCACACCCCCAGGCTCAGCACCCCAAGGCTCAGCACCCCCAGGATCAGCACCCCAAGGCTCCGCACCCCTAGGCTAAGCACCCCTAGGCTCAGCACCCCCAAGCTTAGCACCCCAGCCTCAGCACCCCAAGGCTCAGCACCCCTAGCAGCACCAGATTCAATAGCTACCTCTATAGGCTCGTCTGCGTCTACCTGGGACACACGTGACGAGGCAGGACCCTGAGGGGGGAGAGGGTCTACCGGGGGGGGACCAGGCGCAAATTGGAGCGACGGCGGGGGAGGGGCGTAGTGCGGTAGGGGAAGAGACGGTAGTAAGGAACCGACTCGTCAAAGGTGACGTCCTCCGAGGACAAAACATGGCGCGAGGTGGGGTGGTAAAACTGCCAACCAGGCGCATCAGGGGGGAAGCCAAGGAAGATGAGGGAACAGCACGGGGGGACATCTTGTCCGCGGACAAGTCGCGGAGAAACGCCAGAGATCCCCAAACACGAAACGCAGACGCATCGCCAACCTTCCCCGTCCACCGCAAGGTAGGGGAGGTCTCCGGCAAGGAGACCTGGGGCTGAAGGTTGATCTGATGCGCTGCGTACTGAACTGCAAACGGCCATAGAAAATGGGGAGCAGCCGCATGGATCATGGACGTACGAGCGACGTCCATGACCATGCCAATGCGGCGCTCAGCAATCCCATTTTGCTGTGGAGAGGCTCGAAGCGTGAACGTCTGACGGATGCCCTGTGGACGACAGAAGGCTCCCAGAAGGGCAGAGGAAAACTCCCCGCCTCTGTCAGAGTGCAGACGCATAATAGGATAGTCCGAGCCGAAGCTCTCTCTGAGCTGGAGATGAGCCGCGCGGATCCAGTCGATCAACACCTCAGTGACGTCACCCTTGCTGCGCAAGGGGAACACCGTGGTGTAACGCGAGTAGTCGTCAACCACAACCACGAAGTAACGCTCGTGACCCTGGCCACGAACGCGCGCGGGGCCCCACACGTCCATGTGAAGAGTCTGCAGCGGAGCCTCTGTCGAAGGAAACTTGGAAGAGTGAAGGGCGGCGCGCTGCCGCCCCTCGACACAGGGAATACAGGTAGGGGTAGGCCCCGGAGGAAGGGGAGGGAGGGACCGGGGGAGACCACAGACAAGGTAACGGGAGGCCATGCCTCGAAGACGAGGCAGCGAGGGGTGACCCAAGCGGTGGTGCCTGAGGAGAGTCCGGTGGGACAGGAGGTGACACGAGCAGGGAGCAGACTTAGGACCAGACCTGGACGCCGCAGCAAACATCTGACCTGACGCAGCTACCTGACCAGACTAAGCAATCGGAGGAGACTCAGTAGTTAGTGTGTACAGGCTCGACCCCGGCTGATGGGTAAACGTGGCCAAGTGTCGGCCCGTCCGAGCACACGTGCAGTTGGTCACTCGCTGACTCGCAGGAGTGAGCTGGTCAACCCCCCCATCCTGGAGATCAGCACCACTCACCAAGTTCGTAGAGAACGAGGGGAGGTAGAGACCGGACAGGGTGCCAGAGGGGGCCGCCGGACACGGTAAGAGAGTGGAGAAGCGGGCAAGGACAGGACCCCCAGAGGGGTCCGCCAGGGAGACTGCAACTGGCCGACTAAGCGGCGTAAGCATGGTGCGGTCTCGAAAGGAGCGGGAAGCACCCGAGTGAAGGGTGAAGGTGTGTAAGGCCTTAGCCAACGTGGTACCTAAGAGAGCAGACTCACCAGTGTCTGGGGCAGCGGACGCACTAGCACCTAGAGCAGCAACCTCACCAGCACCTAGAGTAGTTGCGTCAATGCCGGGGTCAGGCGGGACACACAGATAACAGTCACCCTCATCACTAGTAGACACAACATACATGGCAGAAAGAATGGGATCATAATCGTGATCAAAGATAGCAACCCCCAACCTAAGCAGCTCACCCCAACGGGGGATCTCAGTGGCGTCAGGGAACGTGAGATGCCAAGCGTCCGTCAGGCGGCCGAAGCAACGCTGGGTGGTTTACGGGCCACCGCACTGCTCACCTGTGCGGTCGACGGGACGCAGGACGTAGGCACAAGGACCAGCACCCCCACCTCGCTGACGCGCAGCGTACCAGTCACCAAGCTGCTGGGGGAGCAGGGTCTCAGGAGTGCGCTGCTGCTGCAGGCGCTGACCACCACCAAAGCCGCTCCGCTGCGCAGAGCCACCCCGACTAGCTCCACCTCCGCCACCGCCACCTCCGCCACCGCCGCCACCGCCTCCTCCTCCGCTCCCACCGCCACCACCGCCGCCTCCTCCGCCTCCATCGCCGCCACCGAAGCCCCCACCCCCGCCACCACTCCCACCGCCACCCCCACCCCTTCCGCCGCCTCCACTGCCCCTGCCAGCTCCTCCAGCGCCCTTGCCCCCCTTTCCCTTGCCGATGCAGCGTCTCCCGCTAGGGGCAGACGCAGCGCCGACCGAATCGGTGCCAACGAAGTCGATGGCAGCAGTAGAGGCAACAGAGGGCAAAAGGAGGGAGGGGTAGCACCCCTCAAAGAAGGGGGCACGAGGGTCACCACGAGAGGCTCCTACAGCGACTATACTCTTCTCAGCTGCCAGGAGGCGCTCCTCGAGGAGGTCAACGGTGAGTGTGGTGGGGCAAACAGAGAGGAAGTGGTCCCTTACCGAGCGAAGGGAGTCAGGGAGCCGGGTGACTATGTAGTAGAGGGTGATGTACATGGGGGGGGGGGGGGGGGGGGGGGTTCTTGGCGCAGAACTCAGCATGAAGCGCAGCGCAGTAGCGGGTGTCTATAGTGCAAAGGTGCGTAATGAGGTCAGCGATTGTGGGAAAGGCGGCGAGGTCAGGGAACAGGTACGGCAGCATGAGGCGGCTAAGGGCAGCAGTGGCAGAGGAAGAGTAGCGTGCAACTACAGCGTTGTACAAGGGCTTAGCACTCTTGTACTGACTAAAGTGCGCGCGTCAGTGGACGGTAGGTGACTACACACAGCAAGATGGGCAGCACCATCGCGTATGGTCCACTGTGAGGGAACAGTGCTGTCAGCATCGGCAGAAGGGGCAGCAGAGACGCCAGACGTGAGATCGAATTGTGAGAGACCGTCTTTCCTATCGCACTGTAGGAAAAGCTGTAGATCATCGACCCAGACCTCAAAGTCAACATCCCGACCCTTAGCATCAAAGGCGAGAACTGTCAGATTTATATGACATAGCTGTTGTAGGCTATAGTGGGGTAGCACATATGGGGTACAGCTTTCTAGGGTTGTATTTGTACCCAACTTTCACTTAGTCATTTCATTCTTGTTCTAACTTTCTCGTGGTATCAGAGCAGGTTCCCTTGTCGGAACTGTGCCTAGGGCCCACCAGATCGAGACTTTTTTTCCTGCCCGTAGTGCGCTCCCTGAGTCGCGCTCTCCTCTCTGCCCTCGTCGAGCCGCCCAAGCGGCCCCGTCTGTCGCCCCTAGCGGCCTCCCTTGCGCCGCCCTTACGGCCCGTCGCGGCCCTCACTCGGCCCGTCGCCGCCCTTCACGGTCCGTCGCCACCCTAAGCGGCTTGTCGCCGCCCTCCCTTGCGGCCCCGCCGCCCTCAGTTGCGGCCCTGCCGCCCTCAGTTGCGGCCCCGCCACCCTCGCTTGCGGCCCGTCGCCGCCCTCACTTGCGGCCCGTCGCCGCCCTCCCTTGCGGCCACGCCGCCCTCACTTGCGGCCCCACCGCCCTTGCTTGCGGCCCCGTCGCCGCCCTCAGCTGCGGCCCCGTCGCCGCCCTCACCTGGGGACCGTCGCCGCCCTCACCTGCGACCCCGCCGCCCTCAGTTACGGCCCCGTCGCCCTCACCTGCGACCCTGTCGTCGCCCTCGGTTGCGGCCCCGTCGCCGCCCTCACCCGCGGCCCGTCGCTGCCCTGACCTGCGGCCCTGCCGCCCTCAGTTGCGGCCCCGTCGCCCTCGCTTGCGGCCCCACTGCCCTCAATTGCGGCCCCGCCGCCCTCAGTGCGGCCCCGTCGCCGCCTTCAGCTGCGGGCCGTCGCCGCCCTCACTTGCGGACCCACCGCCCTCAGTTGCGGCCCCGCCGCCCTCAATTAATGCACCGCCGCCCGCCGCCCGAGCCGCCCGAGCTGCCTCACCCAGCCGAGCCGCCGACCGCCGCGCCGCCCTGCAGCAGCACAACCGAGCCGCCCAGCAACAGAGCAGCCGAGCCGCCGAGCCGCCGAGCCGCCCTACAGCCGAGCCGCCCAGCCGCCCACCAGCCGAGCCGCCGTGCAGCCGAGCCGCCTAGCAGTCGAGCCGCCGAGCCGCCCAGCAGCCGAGCCGCCGAGCCGCCCGAGCAGCCCTATCCGGTGAGCACAACACCTCTGTCACTGCATTGTCCTTCCCCTACTGCTTGCACTGCTGGTCTACTGTTGTCATGGCTACCCCTAGTGTCCTCGCTTTTGTCGCAGAGGGTCGAGCCATTGACTTTGAAGTCTGGGTCGACGACCTGCAGCTGTTCTTACAGTGCGATAGGGCAGACGGTCTCTCTCTCTTTGACCTCACCTCTGGCGCCTCTCCTGCCCCTGCTGCTGATGCTGACCCCACTGTTCGCTCCCAGTGGGCCATGCGCGATGCTGCTGCACGTCTTGCTGTGCGCCGCCACCTGCCTACCACTGAGCGTGCGCACTTTAGTCAGTACAAGAGTGCTCAGACCTTGTACGACGCTGTAGTTGAGCGCTACTCTTCCCCTGCCACTGCTGTACTGAGCCGCCTCATGCTACCGTACCTCTTCTCTGACCTTGCTGCCTTTCCCACAGTCGCTGACCTCATTACGCACCTCCGCACTAGTGACACTCGCTACCGCGCTGCGCTTCCAGCTGAGTTCTGCGCCAAGAACCCCCCTCCCATTTACATCACTCTCTATTATATAGTCACCCGCCTCCCTGACTCCCTTCGTGTAGTCAGGGACCACTTCCTCTCAGTATGTCCCACCACTCTCACTGTTGACCTCATAGAGAAGGCCCTCCTAGCAGCAGAGAAGAGCATAGTCGCTGTAGGAGCCTCTCGTGGTGACCCTCGCACCCCCATCTTTGAGGGATGTTCCCCTTCCCCCCTTCTGCCCTCTGTCCCCTCTACCGCTGCGGCCGACCTCGTCGGTCTTGAGTCGGTCGGTGCGGCGTCTGCCCCTAGCGGGAGACGCCGCTCTGGCAAGGGCAAGGGGGGCAAGGGCACGGGTGGAGCTAGCGGGGGTGGTGGAGGTGGCGGTGGAGGCAGCGGAGGGAGTGGGGGTGGCGGTGGGAGTGGTGGCGGGGGTGGAGGTGTCGGCGGCAGCGGTGGAGGCGGAGGCGGCGGAGGCGGTAGCGGAGGGAGCGGAGGCGGCGGTGGTGGCGGAGGTGGAGGAGGCGGTGGTGGAGGAGGTGGAGCTGGTCGGGGTGGCGCTACGCAGCGGAGCGGCTCCGGTGGTGGTCAGCGCCAGCAGCAGCAGCAGCAGCGTTCTCGGGACATCCTCCCCCCTTAGCAGCTCCGTGAGTGGTACGCGCAGCGTCAGTGTGGTGGGGGTTTTGGTCCGTGCACCTACGTCCTTCGCTCCGGCGACCGCGCGGGTGAGCAGTGTGGGGGTGCCCACCCCACCCAGCGCTGCTTTGGCCGCCTGACGGACGCTTGGCGTCACCAGTTCCTGGAGGCCAGTGAGATCCCCCGCTGGGGAGAGCTGTCTAGGGCAGGTGTAGCTATCTATGATCTTTACTTTGATGCTATCCTTGCTGCCATGTATGCTGTGACTTTTAGTGATGAGGGTGACTGTTACCGGTGTTTCCCGCCCGACCTGGGCATTGGTACTGCTGCTCTAGGTGCTAATGAGGCTGCTGCTCTTGGTGCCAGTGCGTCTGCGCCCTCAGGTGCTGGTGAGTCTGCGCTCGCAGGTACCACGTCGGCTTCGGCCTCCCTCACCTTCACACTTGACTCAGGGGCTTCTCGCTCCTTCTTTCGAGACCGCACCACACTCACGCCGCTTGGTCGGCCGGTTGCACTCTCCCTGGCAGACCCCTCTGGGGGTCCTGTCCTCTCTCACTTCTCCACTGTCCTCGCGTGTCCGGCTGCCCCCTCTGGCACCTTGTCTGGTCTTTACCTCCCCTCGTTCTCTACGAAATTGGTGAGTGGTGCTGATCAGCAAGATGCGGGGGTTCATCAGTTTACTCCTGCGAGTCAGCGGGTGACCCACTGCTCGGATGCTCGCACAGGCCGGCACCTGGCCACGTTTACACGTCGGCCGCGGTCGAGCCTGTACACCCTGACCACTGGGTCTCCTCCTGTCCCTGCGTCTGGCCAGGTAGCTGCGTCGGGTCAGGTGTTTGCTGCAGCGTCCAGGTCTGGTCCTGAGTCTGCCCCCTGCTCGTGTCGCCTCCTGTCTCACGAGACTCTCCTGTGGCACCACCCTCTAGGTCACCCCTCCCTGCCTCGTCTCCGAGGCATGGCTTCCCGTGTCCTTGTCTCTGGTCTTCCTTGGTCCCTCCCTCCCCTTCCTCCGGGGCCTGATCCTTCCTGCGTCCCCTGTGTCGAGGGGCGGCTACGGGCTGCCCCTCACTCCTCTCAGTTTCCCCCAACAGAGGCCCCGCTACAGACGCTTCACATGGACGTGTGGGGCCCGGCCCGCGTCCGTGGACAGGGTCACGAGCGCTACTTTCTGCTGGTGGTCGACGACTACTCGCGTTACACCACAGTCTTCCCCTTGCGCAGCAAGGGTGATGTCACTGAGGTGTTGATGGACTGGATGCGCGCAGCTCGTCTCCAACTCAGGAGGAGCTTCGGCTCAGATTTTCCTGTTCTGCGTCAGCACTCTGACCGAGGCGGAGAGTTCTCCTCTGGCCTTCTGCGAGCCTACTGCCGTGCGCGAGGCATCCGCCAGACCTTTACGCTTCCAGACTCTCCACACCAAAATGGGATTGCTGAGCGCCGCATTGGCATGGTCATGGACGTTGCTCGTACGTCCATGATGCATGCGGCTGCCCCCCATTTTCTGTGGCCGTTTGCGGTTCGGTACGCGGCGCATCAGATCAACCTTCACCCCAGGGACTCCATGCCGGAGACCTCCCCAGCCTTGCTGTGGACTGGGAAGGTCGGCGATGCGTCTGCATTCCGTGTCCGGGGATCTCGGGCGTTTGTCCGCGACTTGTCTGCGGACAAGCTGTCCCCTCGTGTTGCTCCTTGTGTCTTCCTTGGCTTCCCCCCTGACGCCCCAGGGTGGCAGTTCTACCACCCCACCTCTCGTCGTGTTCTGTCCTCCTAGGACATCACGTTCAACGAGTCAGTCCCCTACTACCGCCTCTTCCCCTACCGCACTCCTTCCCTCCCCTCGCCACCGCACTTTCTTGTGCCAGGTCCCCCCCCGGTAGACCCCCTCCCCCCTCAGGGTCCTGCCCCTTCAGGTGTGTCCCAGGTAGACGCAGTCGAGCCGGTCGAGGTTGCTGTTGACTCTCGTACTGCTGCGGGTGCTGAGCCTGGAGGTGCTGACTCTGGGGGTGCTGCGCGAGTGGGTGCTGAGCCTGGGGGTGCTGCGACTGGGGGTGCGGAGCCTGGCGGTGCTACGAGTGAGGGTGCTGCGACTGGGGGTGCTAAGCCTGGGGGTGCTGCGACTAGGGGTGCTGAGCTTGGGGGTCCTTCGCCTCGGGGTGCTGAGCCTGGGGGTGCTACGTCAGGAGCTGTTGAGCCTGGGGGTGCCATGTCTGGAGCTGCTGAGCCTGGGGGTGCGGAGCCGCGGGCCGCTGGACCTGCTAGTGTACCGTCTGGTGGTGCTGAGCCTGGAG